TGTTAGAATACATTAAGCTTAACAAAAATTACTAGCAAACCTTGCAGTCGAACATCGTTCTTTTTAGAACCTTTTTTAGTGCAAAGTGCACAAGGTAGCTTAAGAGCCGTAAAAAACGCATCCCAACTCTTTATTAGAATATTTTGAACGGAAAAGCGGTAGTAATGGCCCTTTATGTTCCTTATGTGCTGTTAAGAAGGTGAGTTTTGTTGATGTAAATAATAATAACTGTTTATATATTTACAATTAATTTTCTATTCCTAAAATAGTTTGATTAAAAGAAAATATGTAAAAGTGGGCAACACTGTACCGGTCAAGATTAATCGTGAATAAAAGTTTATTTGATATGAACTACAGTATGTCCCGGATTGTCTTTACAAGAGGAAAAACTTTTTTAATATTGGCATTTTGACAAAAAATGCATTATGCATAAAAATTTTTGCTTGTCTTGAAATGGTTAATCCCGTTTATACTTTACCAAATTTCCATACCTTTTTAGAGAAAATTAAAGAAAACATGAAAATATAGTTGAATTTTTTCCTGAAATCCAAAGGAAATCCTAAAAATCAAAACGCGTTTCTATGGTAACATAATTTTCATTCTTTGATATATTATTATTGACAGAATTTTAATTAACGTCATATATTTTGCTGTTTTGAAATATTAGAGAAGCACAAACTTTATTTAGTTCAATGCTAGGAAAAAGGTGATAATATCCGGAAATGTGATACTCTAACAAAGATCAAAAACTATGACGTTCATCAAAATTAATTATAAGAATCTATCAAAGAATGAAATCGAAATTATATTACCACAGAAACGCCTTTTAACTTTTTAGGGCTTAAAAACTTGAACTACATTTTGATGTTTCTTTAATTTTCTCTAAAACGATATGGAAATTTGGAAAAGTATTAAGAGAATATATAACGGGATTAACCATATAAAAAAAAAACAAGCAAAAATGTTTATGAAGAATTCATTATTCTAAAAAATATCAATTATAAAATGTTTTTTTCCTCTTGTAAAGACAATCCGGGGACATACTGTATAAATAATAAAATAAATTAAATATTTCTTGCTTATAGTCGCTAATATGGACTAATACTTGAAACCGCATGATCGAAAAAAAACGGCGTCCAGTTGGCTTGGAAATGAGGATCGATGACATTCCCCATATAATTTTACATATAAAATGACTGATGATCTTCATTTCATAGCCATCGCATTAAATGGAAATATGATTATGTTACCAACGCTAACAAGAAAAAATCCCGTTAAAAAGTTTGTTTTCTGACAAACTTTTAGACATGTATTAAGCCGATAAATTGTTTTCAAATTTGAGGTCTATATATATAAGATATAAGTTTAATCGATCTGCTTGATACATGGATGATAAGGATTCAATATTGTAATTTTTATTTACTTCAACAAAAGTACTATTTTCTACAAATTCTTGCTATGTACTGCGTGTACAAAATTCACGTTTTCTGCTACCATTCTACACGTCAATCCCTTCGTTTATATTTATCCTCGGTCACGACACAAACAACTTAAAAACTCTGACCTTTCCGCGCCAAAAAAAAACAAGTTAACACGAAAAAACTATAGTGTCGCAACGTTGGACCATCTCGTTAAGTAATTAAAAGGCAATTTTGACAGGTGGATTTTAATTTACGTAACATTTCTATAACAGAAACGATCGAATCGGCTAGTAAACGGTCTTGGAAGATGTTATCTGACGGATAAAATACGAGTAGTAGAGTGGAGAAAGTCTACTGAGCAGAAAATTGGATTCATATGGTGCGTAACTAAAGACTATATTAGTTATGCAGCCCAGCTAAACTGCAAGTAAAATGCGATACTGAATAAGATTTTGTGTTTTTATTTCTTTTACGTATCTGAATCCTCGGTTCTAAATATTTTGAATAGTCGAAGTTACTATAGATATTTTTTGTGTGACTTGTGTGACTGAATAAAATTCTCAGGACTTACGATCGAGGAAAATCAAATATTTTCCTTGATTTAAATAAGAACAATCTTCGGATTTTTAATAGAACACTGTCTCCTCAACGAATACCTCAGTAGATTGAAGTTAAAAAACAACGGCAAATGCAGATTCTGTGGGGAAACACTAGAACATCTCTTCTCTGTAAAACCGTCTCAGATACTGACTTTTGTCAAAGCCCTGAGACTGTATGATGGATCATAACTCAAGAAAGGGGAACACAAGAGATCTATGAGCACTACTGCCCAAAATACCAACTTGTATCAAGAAATTAATAGTTTGAAAGGTTTTCTTTTCATTTTTGTTTTAAATTCCACAAAACATGTACTTTATACGTCTCATTGTATAGACACAGTTATAGGCTTGGATGCATTTCAGTTGATTTCAACAAATTCCGACCGTAGCGCTTCAACGACAATGGTGCAGATGGCAAAAATCAGAAATTATCAGTATTTCAGGTAGCCGCCATGTTGATCGCATTAAAATAATATTGAAATCGTGGTTTTGTCATAAGTACTTTAGTTTTTTTGCTAGTGCACTTATTGAGACTATAAAACACGAGGTTTTATAGTCTCAGGTACGAGGTTTGTGTGATATAACGCTGTTTCGGGTAGTCAAAATTAAGTGAAAAAGAATTCGAACTAGGCGTCGCACAATGGCTTCGTCCCATGGACAAAAATCGAAAAAAAAGTTAAAATTTACTAATATCTGAATATGTAATTTTATACTTATAGCAATGTTCAACCATCCTGTATATTATTTTTCATAAACAGCGTTTTTTTGTTAGCAAATATTTTCACTAAAAATAAATTTTGCGATCATTATCTTATATCAGTGAAAAGAATAACATTCATAGTAGTTCTGTATATGGAGTTAAACGGTACGTACTTAATTGAAAGCCACTATGGATATTGTTAAACAAGGTATGTACTTTAAGTTTATTTCTGAACAAGTTCGTTATTGTTTAGTTTTTATTTATTTTTTAAGATGATTCTTAAATGGGTATAAAAATTTTACATTTTCAAACTTCAAAAAGGCATTAAAAAAAAACATATCAAAACATATCGTATTTATTGAATATTTTTGTTGCCATATTTATACACTTTTAATTTTTGTATAGTTCATCTGCGTCTGCTTGCGACGAACTTTATTTTATAATACTTTTCAGATGGAGTAAAATTGATAAGCAATGCCGATCTGGTTAATACTTGGCTTCATCATAAGGACAAGAACTCAAAATTATTTATATTTGAAAAAATGTGTTCTTTATTAGATATTGATGAACATTCCAGTCCAATGAGATAACCACTTGTGCCTGAGCCCACTATGTTGGAGCGAAACGTGGCATAAAAAATGTGTCCATCTTTCAATTTATTATAAAACCTCATACCCAAGAAAACGAAAAAATAATATATGGATATGGTCTATTAAAGAGGTAACTATTAACATCCGAACCCCTCATACCAACAAAAAGAACAGTAACAACGCGAAAAAGTAACATATTAGAAAATGATGTACAGAAATATCTTATATGTGAGGATATTTCATCTACCTGTGCTTTGGCTAGTATAAATTTGGAAGATTCTGTCAACAATGATTCTTCTGAATCAGAGTAGTTACGATCTATGCATTTTGTTGTCCTAAAGTAAATTTATAGTATCTTAAGTTTTTTTTTTAATTAAATATAGCATTAATGTTTCTTTTTCATTAAAGAAAAACATTTTTATCTTATATTAGGTTTATATTGTAGGAATCATGTTCTAATGTTATTCCAATTCTTTTTTATCACAGGAATTTATTTAATACTTACACCGTTTTCATACTATAAATTATTATTTCCTTAGATGGAACAGAGCTCCAACATTTTTATTATTTATAAGATTTTTTTTCATAAACGTGGGACTAAGAACATCATCATTTAGTACGATGAGAGTACTCATCATTTGTGTCAAATAAACCTAGTTTGAATAAATTGCCTACAATAAAAGAGAAGTTTTGCATTTTTGTCCTCTAGAGCCATATGTTCGAAGCACTGTGCGTCGCGTCGTGTAGTGTTGTGACAATTTCAAATGTTAATAAAATCGCCGAAACATTGTTAACGCTTAAAGAAGAGTGTAATTAGGGCATTTTTGGGTGCAATAAGATTCAATAACTCAACTTTCCCGGATAATCAACTCTCCCGAAACAACATTTTATAATTTCACACCAATCGATCTGATCAAAAGCAAAAATGGATTAAAACATTTCGACGAAACAAGTGAGTAAACAAAGTGCTCGTTACATAATCAAAAAATTAAATAAACATTATGAGAGGATAAAATATAATTTGCAATATGAATGGTATACTTTTTTTAATCAACTAGTGATTAAATGTTTTGGACATCTTCTAAAATTATAATTATGTACCTTTAAAAAATTTCGTTATAGCCGAAATAGCCCCAATTATGCCCCACTAGCAAAACCGTTGATGAATGAACTATCCTCGCTACCGTAGTTAAACTCATCTAAAAAGTATTATTAATTGGAATAATAAATTATAATACAAGTTAGGGGGGGGGCCTTCTGAATATATCAAAATTTTAACTTTTTTATTTTTGGAATTTTCACAAATTATACTTCCTAACACTTTTAGAATAATTAAATAATAAATTTTTCGTATTCTCGCTATTTAAACCCGTGTATTTGTAAGTACCAGTTGTTTACGATATTCTCCGATGGTGGCAGCACCGGCGGGGAATGCACTAAGCTTATGGAATTTTTGTCATACTTAAAAAACGAGAACAGACAGATTTTTCAGAAAAAAAAACTTAACATGACAATAAAAATGTAAACAAAATAAAAAGTTCAAGGCATCAACTTGTAACTAAAGAATTGCGTTTTTGTCCAATTAACTATTAAAAGTCGTAACATGACAACTATTTTTTAAACCGAAAAAAAATCACTCATATATTAAAAACAAATGAGGACATGAATGATCATTTAAATAGGTACTTACGCGTAACTGCCGTGAGTGTTATGGCACTTCCCATGCTTGCAGGGTTTCTGTTTGCATTCGTCCTTGTCCTCGGTACAACTGGCCCCTGTAAAACCAGGAGCGCACGTGCACTGATAAGAATCGCCCACGCTCGTACATTCTGCGCCGTTCCTACAAGGCTGCGATGCGCAGTGATCCTGTTTCTCGCAATGCTCCCCTAGAAATTAAAAGGCGATTTAGAATATAAGATATTTTTATACGTTGAACTTTTTCAATTTTTATTGTTGATATTGATATCGAAAAAGAACAAGAAGAGCAAAAGTACACTATGAAGAGCAAAAGTACAATAATACTGGTTAAAAACAAGAGACGACGCATGACGAATTTATATACAGGGTCGCTGATGTGTATGGGAACGGGCGATTATTAGCTGAAATATACAAGGTACCGCAAAAAATTAAATACAAATATTATAGGGTTTTTAAATGTCTATTAGACAGTAGTCAACTTAAGTATACAGGGCGGGTCATAAATTTGTGGCACATCTAAATTTACTTTTAATATTTATTTTTTAATATTATTAAATAAAATGGAACCCCCGGTATATTATTGCATATTTCAATTATTCCTTCAATTTTAAGCAATAATCGTAATACACATAATATACCTAAATGCAACCATTTCCGAATTATGATGTTTTGATTTTGAAATGATTTGTCAAATATTATTAAGTATCGCAGTTTCCGCAGAATGGCATCGTTAAATGAAACCGAACACATCAAAATTAATAAAATTGAATTGTTTAAATTTATTTGAAAGTCAATAACTCGGAAACCGTTGGTTAGATGTACATTGTGTATATTTCGATTTTTGCTTAGAATTGAAAGAAGAATTGAAATATGCAATAATATATAGGGAGTTCCATTTAAAAAAAATGAAACTTTAATGTACCACGACTATATGACTGACCCTGTATACTTAATTGTTTTCCTCCCTAATAGACATTTAAATACCCTATAACTTTAATATTTAACTTTTAGCGGTACCTCCTATATTTTAACTAATAATCGACTGTTGCCATACATATCAGCGACCATGTATAAACCAATCCATAGTTAACTTAAAAAATATTAGAAACTTTTTTTGGTGAAATAAATGAATTGAAATTAATTGTCTGTCGAAATCTTACTTGAAAAAAACAGAGTATAATACCAGTCAAAATATATGCACTTGTTTAAGAGATACCCTGTGTATTAACGTCACATTACTCGAGAAGCAGTAAAAATCTTTGACAAAATTTTTTTGAGACATTTTACACTGTTCTTGAATAATAAATTGAACAATTTTTTTTTATTAAACTAATTTCAATTTTTATATTTTGAAAGCAAAACTTCAGTATAAAATATAGAAAATATCACGTTTGATACCACAGCGTGTGTTATAAATTGTTGTTAATGGTTAAAATATTCTTTATCTGCATTAAAATTTTTATTTTACTATACCAATTTCGCCAGCATTTAATTAACAAAACCCCTAAATAACAACAGTCCGCGAGCAGTATTACAAAATCACTTCGATTTGCATAAAATGCATCACGTTTCTTTCTCAGGGTGGTACTACACACCCAAAATCTATTATCCTAATCTCCTATACATCGAAATACATCACGAATTAACATACTTGCCTACTGCTATAATATTCCATATATTATCTAGCTCACTCCATGTCGTTTGTTTATATTAATCGCGCTTATATTTATGTATTTCCCCACACCACGTTTCTATTTGCTCTTGCTTTTTTGCATAGCGTGAGAAAACGATCGCCCTGTATAAAAACCACGCCTTATGTGTTAACCTGCTCGATATAAAATCGCAGACAGAAAACTGGAATATAGTAGGACATAAGGGGGCGATATCACCAAACAAGTTTTGTTTTACATAATTATTTGTTTGGATTTTTGTCATCCAGATCATCTTTTTCTCTCTGCCCTTATTTGTGTACCTTTATCTTGCTCTCTGTGCGTATGTTTATTTGTGTCTCTTAACCAATAGTTTGGTTTTAAAGTGTTTAGGGAGCATTAGGCATTTCATCCGCTCAAGAATGTTTAATTAATTAATGAATATCTAATTAATTTCTTATTAACTAAAACACGAATGTAATAGAACGCTTTATTCACAAACACTATATGTAGTATATGTTTAATTAAAGCTATTTAACGTTATTTAACAGAAGAATTAAGTTAGCATGGATTATTTATGGTGTGTGGCCGAAAGAATATTGGCTAAAAGTGGATGAACCAATACCAATAATTGCGAAGAAAATCAGATTTGAGGTGAAATTATTTTATGTATTTTATGTACCTTTGTATGTTAAAAGTTTAATACATTCTCACCAAAATACTACAAACAAATATAAATTCTTCTGTTAGTCTTTTCATTTATAGATAAGAATTGGCAAATATTGCTTTTTTGTCTTGGACAAAAGTAGATGAACCAAATATTTTTAAAAATCGTTAGTTTCATTTGTTCTGCTTTTATGAACAATTGCGATTTAAAAACATTTGAGCTCTTGTGATATATCATGCCACGTGGAATTAACTTGTCTGCAGATCTTAAGTTGCGAGTAGTGAATGCTTTTAAGGATGGTTTGAAGCAATCGGAAATCGCTAAGCAATTACGCCTTGGAAAATCAGCGGTACATTATATTTTAAAGAGATATAATGAGAGAGGAGATGTCTCTATAAAAGAAAACCAGGACGACCTAAAAAGTTGGTCCCAATATGATAAAAAGCCATAAAACGAATTTCTTCACAAGATCCATTTTTGCCGTCAACGAAGATAAAAGGAAAACTTGAAGAAATGGGCTATCCACCAGTGAGTACAAGGACGATCCGACGTAAATTAGTTGACCAGAAGTTGTTTTCCCGAAGACCCGCCAAGAAACCACTGCTATCAAAAAAAAATTTGAAGGCCCGATTAGCATTTGCCAAGGAATATCAAAACTGGACTGTGGCACAATGGAAAAAAGTTTGTTTTAGTGATGAATCAAAGTTTAATTTGGTGTCATCAGATGGAATTCAACATGTAAGAAGACCTCCCAACACACGATTGCTACCAAAGTACACGCGACCCACTGTAAAACATGGTGGGGACTCAATCATGGTATGGGGGTGTTTTTCTGGGTATGGGATGGGGCCTCTCCATAAAATTGAGGGCATAGTGGATCGGTTTGGCTACAGAGACATTTTACAAAACCTTTTAGTGCCTTATTTGGAGGAAAAAATGTCAGTTGTACACTACTTCCAACATGATAACGACCCGAAACATGCCTCACAATTGGTTAAAAGGTTTTGGAAGATGAAATGGTGACTGTTCTCAAATGGCCATCGCAATCCCCAGACCTGAATCCAATAGAAAATTTATGGGAAATTTTGGATCAACACATTAGGACCAAATTCTACAAAAATAAGCAAGAATTATTGGTTGGCTTTGGAAGAGTCTTGGAAAAATATCGATTTTTCTATAATTGAAAATCTTCTGGGATCCATGCCTAAGCAATGTCTGAAAGTAATTAAGAATAAGGGTTATTACACTAAGTACTAGTAAATTATAAGTTAATTTTTCAGTTTTTGTTAACATAAGATTTTTTTTTATTCAATATATATTTTGTTCATCTACTTTTGTCCAATAGTTTTTTCAATTTAAATTTTTTGCTACCTTATTAAAGCACATTTTAAAAAAAACAATGCTATTTACTTTTATAGCACTGACACTAGACTTCAAGTAAATATAGCTCAAATTTTAATTTTAAACATATTAGGAAAAACCCATTATTTTAACAAAGTTCATCCACTTATGGCCAATTACTGTATATATCACATTTCAGAAATCTGCCTAGGCTTAGCCCGATCCTGTCGTGTTAAGCAATACCGAAAATTCCAAACACACGTGCTTTGATTAAGGCTTGATTAAGGTTTGCAGAGCTTCAGCATTTGCCATAAAATAGCGAGCAATTTGTTAGAAAACCATATAAATTATATATCACTGTAATCACAAAACTTCAGTCTATTTCCGTATTCTAACGGAATTTTAATTTATGTCTTTATTTTCGAGAAAATTTAGTCCAAACATAAGAAATATTTTGTTGATGTTTGACCATCAAAATCTTAAAAATAAAGAAGTTGTCTAAAATGTGCTACAATACGGATATAGTATAATCCTTTATCTTTAATTTCGTTTTTCATTTATGTAAAAATACCTAGCCAGTTTTACATAAAACTTTAAATGCCGAACGCTTATTTTGCTACTTTTTCGGACCAGTGAAATGGACTCCTAAGACTCGTTGGACAAATTTTATTTTTGAAGATGCTTGAAAAACAGTTAGGTGACACCGCCCCACAGAATTTTAATACAGATTGCGGGTACTACAAGCGCCGTACAAGTACCCGAAGTCACAGAGAAGCAAGGGGAACGTTTTATAGGACTTCCTTATTGATAATTCGCTCTGGCAAAATGAATTTTAGTAATCTTAAGAGACGGCAGTTTGTGGCCAGTCAGTGAGAACGATATTTTAAGGCCGTATAAAACCAGTTTAGTGGATTTCGTCTACGAGTTTTAACGGTTCGGCAGGGCAAAAAGGCGTTTCTGCGGAGGAAATTTGAATTTCCGTATTACCAGCCAGATATATATCTGTTAAGGCCGTCGTGTGAGGCTGTTTACTTATGTATACGCCGGTTTTTAGGCGGTTTTATGGTGCAGTCCGGAGCTATCAAATACGAATAACGTGTTAGTTATAGTTCAATTTATGTTTGTTGGAATGTATAGTGACGATTCCACAATAAATTCTTATTCAAATAGATATATTTTTATTAGCCAAGTGAGTCAAGTCAGCCACACTTTTCTAGGTTAAGCCAAGTTTGTCATTGAATGAAGAAACTATGAAAGGACGCTAATAATATTTTTTATGCATGCATTAGAGAATTCGAGACGTCATTTTTGACATTGTATTAACCTATTTTTCTTTTATAACTAATGGCATTTACATACTGCCATTACTCGCTGACGAGTATTTGACACGCATCAGAAGATGGTTAATCAAGGCGTTTTCTTTCATGAGCTTTTCTGTGACTGAAAAGCCCGATACGTGATGTTATCTTTCTTCCGTACTCCGGCCATTCAAAAATCTCATTGCTTTGTTGTCTCTTTCCTTTTTGGTTGTCGCTGTTAACTAGCTTTACAATTCTTCTCCATTGCGTTCTATTGTGCGCTGTTTCTTCCCACACATGCTCATGTTTATACCCTTTAAGTTTTCGTGGAGAGTATCCTTGTACCTTTCGAGTTGTCCACCCGGTTTCCTCTTACCGTCTACAAGCTCACCGTAAAGCAGATATTTTGGTAGGCGGTTTTCTTGCATTCTGCATACGTGACCAGCCCATCTTAAGCGGGATTTTGTAATCATGACTTCAACGCTCTCGCGGCTAGCTTTTTCAAGAACCGATACGTTTGAGACATGGTAGAACAATTTGATTCTTAAGTGATTCTTAAGAGTTGCCTAAAGTGTCTCTGTTGCAACTTGTTTAATGCTTTCATGTGTCAGCGGTAAGGCGGTACGGCACAATAACATTTATTGATTAAACATAAAACAAAACCAGCAAATTATTGAGTTTTAAAATTAAAACGCCTGATAATCCGGAATTTAAGTTAGCTACATTAAGGGACAGTATCGGTGGCAATAATTTGGTGATATGATCCTACAGTAAAAACCAAATATGAGTGAATTTTACTACTACTACAATTACTAGTAAAAGCTCACTGATGACTGATTTACACACTACGCCAGTAAAACTGAAATATCCTTTTAGAGTACTTAAGCTTCGCAAGAAATTGGTAACATGTGACGATAATACCATTTTAAGAAAGCCACCAGTTTGTTGATTTCGGTTTTAAGGGTCCACGCTTCGGCACCATACAATAAGGTTAAAAACACATACGTTTGGAGCATTCTTGTTCTTAATCTAAGTTTATGTCTCTACTGCAAAAACATTTTTTGTTTTAAAAAGGAATTTCTGGCTATCTCAATTCTTGATTTTATTTTTTGTAGTTGTTTGGCAGTTTCATTTGTTAATCCCGTAATACCACTGAGGTGATTTCTTCTTCTGCTGCAAATCCACTAATGGTTATTTGCGATCACATTGGTCAACTATTCTTTATTTCGTATCGCATGGAACAGGATCTTAGTTGTGTCTCCAGTCCCGTCCACTGTCTGATGGTCCGAAGCCATGACATCCTCTTCCTGCCGACTCCTCTCTTTCTTTCAATCTTTCCTACAATGATCAGCTGAAGGAATGGGTATCTATCGTTACATATCACGTGACACAGATATGCTGCTTTTCGGCGTTTGATTGGTTCAAGCAGTTCGCGGTCTTTATTGATCATTCTCAAGATCTCGTCGTTTGTTCTTCTTGCAGACCATGAAATATTAAGAATACGCCTATACATCCACAAAGTGGTTATTCAGTGAACCGTTATTTTCCCCTTTTAGGTGACCACTAACAAAGTCTCATATGAGATGATTCTCCTTATCTTTACCAACGACTAAAGAATACAATACAATAAAATCTGTGATGTTAGACGCCATTTTTTGGTTGTAAAGAATAAGTCATCAGCTGGTCATCAGCGACAATTTTAGCGATTTTTAATAGTTTGTGTGTAGTGAACTTTGTATAAACTTTATTACAATGGTGATTAGTTGTTCACCTATCAAGTGTAAAAGCCGCAGCGATAAGAAAGAGCGAGGAGTTACGTTTCATAGAGTTACGTTCAATAAACAGTCCACTCCACCTTTTTAGCGTTTTCTTAGTTTTCTTATTGAATTCGATAATTATTTATGTGATATTATATCTTCTTGATATGTGCTATACGTCTATACTAGTTTTGTACTTTTTGTTAACATTTTAATACGTTTTATTTCGTAATTAATTAGTATGATACCAATTAGTATGCATACACCATAGGAGTAGTGAAAACATTTATCAAAATTATAAATATCGCTTCAAGCGGCTATGTTAAGAAAAATATATGCTACGGCACTGTTTGGAAGAATAGTCACAGTTTGGTCTCTGGTGTTATTTGTCCTTGCATTCTTTAGTCCATTGACTACATAGATTAAGGAAGGAGTATAATGCTATCTATGTATTCATGCATGGTGGGCGGAAAAAGGACTCTAGGGTGGGGGTCCTTGACAGTTCTGTTTGACGATCCATTTGACATATTTGAATTTGATTTGAAATTTTGTGAATTTGTCAGTCTTTACTGAGCTTATTTTATGTTATTTATTATTTATTCTACTATTGATAGTTGCATAAATAAGGTAGTAAATCTAGATGGAAATTGTGGCAGAACCAAAGATATTTAAACTCGAGATTAAATATCTTTGGGCAGAACTTAAATTAACAGTGACACTATTGCGATTTATCGAAAAGGACTGTAAAATAGTTGGTTGTGTAGAGTGCAGTAGATCTCGGTCAAAAATCGAGTGAAATAATGGAATAACCTTTCGCTAGTTAGTGACTATATTTATAATATACATACGTATAGTAAACCGATCATTTATGAAATTCACTTAAATTAACTAAATTATATATTTTTTCTTGCATTTTTGCTTTTATTTACTACTTGTCAAAGTTTAGATGTCAAAGAATTTAGACACGTCAATTTGACTTACCTGCTTCAGTAGCGTATAGGATGTTTGTGTTAATAAATCATTATTATAACTTATCTATTTTTCACGTCTACCCTACATCATAGTTTTACATTTTTTTAAATAAAACTAGAACGGCACTGATAAACCGGAATTCAAGTCGGCCACATTTGAGTCCCATCACGGTGGATCTAAGATTTTTGATATGCTCCTTCCTTAATCTTTTTATTCAAAGGTCCATTGTATAGCAAATTAAAGATAACCTCTAAACTTACCGGTAAATCCTGGTGCGCAGCCGCACTGGTACGACTCCAGCGACGTCAGCGAGCAAGTGCCCCCGTTCATGCACGGCCTCCGATCGCAGCTGTTCGCGATCGGGATCTCGCAGAGCGATGCGCTAAACCCGAGAGGACAACGACATTCGAAGCTCGGCGCACCGCCCGGGCCGATCTTCACCTGGCACGAGCCACCGTTTTGGCAGCGCGGGCCGGGACCCTTGCCCGTGTGACAGGGGTTGAGGTGTTGGCAGTACTCGCCGACATACTTCGATGTACAACTGCAAAGAAAAGAAAGAAGTATATTAGAAAAATTATACATAGCTATTTATAAAAGGTGTTTTTCCAAACAAGAGAAGTATCGAATTACACTAATGAATGTGTCAATATATGTATGTTGACACATGACAATCATTACAACATTCCATCTAGCTAGGCTAAACGTCATTTTTTGATAAATTAAAAAAAACTTTTTAGTACCGCAGGTTTCGTGAAATTTCTTTGAGGTGTGTCAATGACTTGCAATGTTGCCATGTCCTACGTTACTCACTTTCTTGATATCTGTGTGTTTATAAGTTCACAGTAATGTTAATTTTCAAAAAAATAGTATATTGTTTTATTAGGAGTACATACAGCCGAGGCACAAAAAATCAATTTTACTCCAAATAGAATATGCTATTTTTTTCAAACGCTACAAATAAGTTTTTAAACAATTTCAAGCGTTCCATTTAAAAGTCATACCTTGTATGTAATTATATATCAAGAAACTATGGTTACGCTCGTTGAATTTGACATGTCAGTTTAATAATATATTTTCGTACTTTTATGCTTAGGCGTAAAAGTGCTCTACTTTTATGCCTAGGCGTTAAAATAACTTTTAAGTCAATCAAGTCGCAAAAATTAATAATTTTGTGACGTCTGAAAAAAACAATTATTTAATTATTTATAATATATATATTAATGTTAATTATTTATGTGTCATGCTACTAATTTTAGAAAAGCGCATTGGTATTTTTTTTATCTGTATTTATTTTTTGGCGCACACTAATAGATACATTTTTACAGTTATTTTCAACTAAAGTGAAAGAATACATTTTAACAGTTGTTACAAACTCTGTTATCGCCATATTACAAAGCAAGTATTTTCAATCAAGTTAACTGTATACTTCCTTGTCCATCTGGCAACGCAGGGCGTTGAATAAGCCGACAACCAGCTGATTTCGGCGGTTCTCAAAATGTAAGCATTATTTTTCGAAATTGTAAAGTTAAATAACTCGGTTATTTTCAATTTATTTTAAGAACGGTAACTAGAGAACACATTTCTTTTGTCCAGATCTACAAAACTTTAAAATATTTGCACTTATTTAAGGAAAACCCTGTATAATTTGTATCTTATTTTAATGTATATATCATGTAAGCAATCGTGTATATATAGACAAATGAGACATATTCTGTCACAAGGTACCTATCGATATATAGTAACTAGCGATTTGTAGATAGTTATAGATAATCTTTTCCATGTTAACTGATTTCAATTGCCTGAATAAAGAGTACATGCACCTTACTTATTTAGATAGATGGTTGCGTAGATATTATTGTTGTTAAGTAAAAAAATGTTTTACCATATAACAAGTCCTGAGAGAGTTGCGATATTTTGATATATGTTTTTGCTGACATTCAGTTCTATTTATTCAATACATTTAAATTCGTTGCTAATATACAGGATTTATCTTAAATAAGCGCAATTATTTTAGGCAGTGTTGTAGATCTGAGTAAAAGAAATATTAACCTACCCAATTAACAGATTTGTTGTTTAATTCTGGAAACTTTGAATAATAATGCTTAGATTTTGAGAACCGCCGGAATCCCGTGTTGCCACATTGATATCAAAGTATAGACTTGACTGAAAATACATCGTAATATTCTGAAAAGGGATCTGCAATAATTATTAAGATTTATTATTTTAGTCAACTTGAAAAGAACTGTAAAACTTTACTATTTTGTGTTTAAAATACGGACAGTAGATACGTTTTCCTAGAATACTCAATAATGCCACTGATATAATTAAAATTAATTTTCGAAATTTCTTGTGTAGAAAAACATCATTACCGACACATTAGTGAATTTAGAAATATACAATATGCAGAATGTTGGTAGATAACGTAGAAGGTGGCAACATTGCAGCTTCAATACATCGTCAAAAAATTTCAGGAGAATGAACTTGGGGCACTAAAAAGTTTTCATATTTTCTACAATGTTTTTTTGCAAAAAAACCTCATGGGCTTGTTACTGAGGTCGAACTATACCTACTACCAGTAGTAACACTCTGTGTATTATTTAATCAAAGTTTCATACCAATAACATTTGTTGCCATAAAGTATTTTTTTTAAATATTTTACAGTGTGAGTCTTAAATAAACGGAAATATGGTATATTTCGAACCAGGATTATCAGATTTTTTTTCGCAAAAAAGATGTTGAAACTCGTACAGTTTCTTTTAAATTTTCCTGTATATTTTTGAAAACCTTTTAGAACTGCCTGTTCTATGCTTCAAAATATTTTCAACACACAATTTCAAGAAATACAATATAAAAACTCGAAAATTTAGTTATTAAAAGAACTGTTTGTGTTTAAAGTACAATTTTTTTAAAAAATACTATGAAAATCGACAATAAACGACAATTACTCCCAAAGATTCAACAACAACCCGATATTATACAAAATAATGTACCGGTACTGTAAACCAATTGTGACCAACATGGCGATAATAAAATTCGCTTTAAACTAATTTTTGCAGCTTTAATCTAAATAAAATATCGGTTACAATCATTTGGTCTATATAGTAAAACGAAGAGCTGCTGTGTATCTTAAATTATACAACAAATTTAAACATTTTTGCCGAAATTTAATTTAGTCAGGTTTATAGGCTTTAGTGTCAATTTCAATATGATTGATGACCTGCATCGGAAAATGTTTTGCGATTACTTTATATTAGATAATGCGGTGTAATATGGATGATAATAATGCCCATGGACATTGTTAACGTATCTGTAGTTCTAGCAATAATGCTGAAATAATAATGAGGTAAAAAATAAAAAAGTTAAGTTTCCCCTTGTCCATCGTTCTTGGAAATACAGCTACATCAACCTCAAAACGTACAGCTTATAGCTAGAGATGGGCAAAAGTAACCGGTTTTTTGAATAACCGGTATTTTCCTCTAAAATAACCGGTTATTTAAAGGTAGTTTTTTTTTCACCAGTTAACCTAATAACCTTGCATTACGTTCAATAACCTATAGCCGGTTATTTTTTAAAAAATCGTACTTGTTTAAAACAAGTAACAATTAAATATTAGCTGTTTGAATGGTAAATTTCGAAGAAGCGAACGGCACGGATCTTCCAGATATTACGACGATAACGGGAGATCCTGCTCCCGCTCCAAAAACGAAAATATATGACATCAAACATCAAATGTCAAAATTAAATCAGGCATCAGGCGAACCCTGATGATAATAATCAAAACAACGGCCGAATGGCCCTGACAGGTCAGGCCGTAAAACAAAGTACTAATGGCATAGACTACTACTAGCCACCAGCTAGCCAAGTGATACGAACCTAACTTCAAATAGATTCTCTAAATTCTATATTTAAATTTTAACCGACTTGAACGGATTTTTAACGGTTCTTCAAAAGTTTTCCATGGTTTCGCCCAGTTTCACCCACGTTTCACCGTAAATATATTTTATTTGTAGTTTGAAGTCTCTCTTGAAGCTTAGACTAAAGAATACAAAATTGAAGTTCAAGTAATGAATGAAGATAATCTTTCATTATCTATTCATTCAGTCTCCTTATTTTTCTTTGGTATTTGATTAAAATAACTTGGTTGTAGATTGTAGAACTTGTGAGTTGTGTGGTTTATTTGAACGTTAAGTAATTACTAGTTTTAATATCATATCCATCTCTACTCAAAAAAGTGAGGTTAGCATTTTTATTTAAATTCATTTTGTATATATACATACTTACATTGCTACAATTTCTATTTAATCATGCGATTTAACTAAGTTTATTATCTAAATTTGAAGTAGACCTATGGAGTGTAGAGGTAAGTAAACCTATAGGAAAACTAAATATTTAGTTTTGCTAGGTTAGGTTATTTGAATAACCGGTTAATTTTGTCAAGTTATTATTTTTTAAAGATAATTCCGGTTAACCTATAACCGGTTTTTTACCAATAACCGCCCATCTCTACTTATAGCTTTATTATTAAAATAACAAACGGAGACGAGCTGAACAACAGTCGCATGATCAGAGGTAGGGGCCCGCCAACAGCTACAAGATTTATTGAATGCGGCCGAACATCGGATTGATATTAATGGTGGCTGAAATAATAGAATGCCATATTAAAATAGGATTCAAACTGTGAGATACGCCCACGGCGCGGTGATGTTACGGTTTTTTTCGCTCCGGGACTCACCGAAGAGCTTTCGTGTGTCTTGTTTTTTGTTCTCCTTCGTCTTTTTAATTCGAAACGTCGATTCGTTGACGTTCGATTATCGTTACGACGTTGATTCGGATGTAACTCTGTGATCGGTAACTTATTAGTGTTGTAGAATGTATGGCAGGGGGGTTTATCCCCGCAGCCTTACGGATCTATTAAGTCCCCCTTTCTGGAGTTATAACTCATCAAACAGTCTCAGGGATTGGAAAAAAGCCAGTATCTGAAATGGTTTTATAAGGGTTAGTTTTCCATCTCTGATATCAGTCGTACCAAAGTTTATGGCACGAATGGTTGTCGTCTCGGCGCACTCAGTGATGAGGTATCCTGGTGTTTCTCCATGCATTTTCCCCACAGTATCCGCATTCACTGTTGTTTCAAAGTCTCAATCTACTGAGGTGTTCATTGAGGAGGCAGTGTCCTGTTAAAAATCCCGTGACAATCCGAAGATTGTTATTACTTAAATCAAGGAATATCTCAAATTTCTTCGAGTGCCTTAGACCGTTAGATGATTCACATTCCAGGTTACGGATGGGGTCTTCCTGGTTTTTGAGTTCCGCTTTAAGTTGATTTCCACTTAAACGAAGCAGAACGGTTCTGGTCCAGTTAGTGGAGTGTTTGTTCCTTTTCTAGCTAGATCGTCTGATTTCTATTGCCTTCTATCCTTTGGTGAGCTGGCACCCAGAGTAAGAGGGCTTTATTTTCTTTGCCTAACTTATTAGTATTGGTCAGGGTCGTGGTATAGTCTGTAAAACGAATAACTTTGAATCTGACAGTTCCCGCGGGCT